GAGGTGTCTTTTGACTTCACATCCTTTTGCATGTCAGAAATATTACATAATACTTTTAAAAGTCAAAAACTTGAAAAATCAAAAAAGGGGAATATACATAATCTAGTTAAGATTATGCATATATAAATGTGGAGATAGATCAATGTTGATGTATCTACTCATTAATAAAACAAAACAGTACCAGAAGGATCCACATGAACGATGACCACCACCAAAATTTCACAGAAACACTTTTAGAACTGGGATGGGTGTGGTGGCTCATGTCTGTAATCCTAGCACTCTGGGAGGCTGAGGCAGGAGGATTGCTTGAGCTCAGGAGTTCAAGACCAGCCTGAGCAAGAGCAAGATCAGACCCTGTTCTCTACTAAAAACAGAAAAATTAGCTGGATGTCATGGCATGCACCTGTAGTCCCAGCTATTTGGGAGGCTGAGGCAGGAGGAGTTTGAAGTTGCAGTGAGCTATGATGATGCCACTGCACTCTAGCCTGGGCAACAGAGTGAGACTCTGTCTCAAAGAAAGAAAAAAAAAGGAAACTGAACCACCCTCCTCATTCCCCCACCCCCACAAAAAAAAAGGGGGGGGAAACCTTTTAGAATAAATGAATTCAGCAAAGTTGCAGGATACAAAAGCAACACACAAATATCAGTTGTATTTCTATATACTAACAAAGAACATGTAGAAAAGGAAATTAGGAAAACAATTCTATATACAATAGCACCAAAAAGAATAAAATACTTAGGAATAAACTTAACCAAGGGTGTGAAAGACTTGAATGCTGAAAACTACAAAACACTGCTAAAAGAAATCAATAAATGGAAAGATACCCAGTGTTCATGACTGGAAGACTTAATACTGTTAAGAAATCAATATTACCCAAAGTGATTTTTTATAGATTCAATACAATCTCTATAAAAATATCAATGACACTTTTTTGTAGAAATAGAAAAATCCAGCCTAAAATTCATATGGAATCTCAAGAAGCCACAGATAACCAAAACAATCAGAAAAAAGAAGAAGAAAGCTAGAGGAGTCACACTTTCTAATTTCAAAACTTATTACAAAGCTATTGTAAACCAAACAATGAAGCAATGGCATAACAACAGACATATAGACTAATGGAACAGAATAGAGAGCCCAGAAATAAATCCTCTCATAAACAATATAATCAAACAATTTTGGACAAGAGGGCCAAGACCATTCAATGGGGAAAAGACAGTCTTTTCAACAATGGTGCTCGGAAAAACTGGATATTCACATGCAAAAGAATAAAGTTGGGTCCTTATCTTACACCGTATACAAAGATGGAACGAAGACCTAAACATAAGAGCTAAAACTCTTGGAAGAAAACAGAGGAGAAAAGCTCATTTTGTGATAATCCAATCTGGCAATTTCTTGGATATGACACCAAAAGCACAGGTAACAAAAAACTAGATAAAACAGATTTCATCAAAATTTAAAATTTATGTGCATGAAAGGACACTATTATCAAAGAGTAAAAAGACAACCCACAGAATGGGAGAAAATAATTGCAAATCATATATATGATAAGGGATTAACATACAGAATACATAAAGAACTCCTACAACTCAACAACAAAAAAACTCAATTAAAAAATGGGCAAAGGACCAACTAGACATTTCTCCAAGGATATGCAAAGGGCCAATAAGCACATGAAAAAACGTTCCACATCACTAATCATCAGGGAAGTGCAAATCAAAACCACAATGATACCATTTCACACCCATTAGGATAGCTATTGTCAATAAATCAGAAAATAAGTGTTGGTGAGGATGTGGAGAAATTGGAACTTTTGAGCACTGCTGACGGGGACTGTAAAATCATGCAGCTGCTATGGAAAGCACTGGAATGGTTAAACAAAAAATAACCAAATTAAAATTGGTAAAAAATTTAACATGAAAAAATTAAATATAAAATTACCATATAATCCAGCAATTCCACTTCTGAGTATATAACCAAAAGAACTGAACTAGGAACTCAAACAGATTATTTGTACACCAATGTCCATAGCAACATTATTCACAATAGCCAAAAGGCAGAAACAACCCAAATGTTCATTAATGGGTAAATGGATAAACTAAACATGGTACATACATACACACAGTGGAATATTATTCATCCTTAGAAAGAAGTGAAATTCTGACACATGCTATAGCACCTGTTGAAAACATTATGCTAAGTGAAATAAGCCAGTCACAAAAGGACAAATACTATATGATTCTACTTATATGAGTTACCTAAAATAGTGAAATTTAGAGACAGAAAGTAGAATGGTGGTGGCAGGGGTAGGGAGAAATGGGAGTTATTATTTAACAGGTATAGTTTTACTTTGGGATGATGAAAAAGTTTGAAGATGCATAATAGCAATGGTTGTACGTAATGCCACCAAACCATACACTTTAAAAATGGTTAAAATAGTAAATTTTATGTTACACATACTTTACCATGATTAAAAAAATTTTTACAAAGAAGGAAAAGTAAAAAATGTGAGAAACTTTTTGTTAGTCAAACGCAGAACTATAGTCTACTGGTAGGAATAAGAAGCTAGCAGAATGAATACCTCGCTTTCTACCCCATGTTAAAGAGCACAACAGAATACATTCTTAAGAGGCTTTCCAGGGAGGGGGAGTCATTAGGGAAAGCCAAGTTTTCATAAAGGTGAGGTATTCTCAAAAAGGCCGAGGCACAGTGGCCTGCGCCTATAGTCCCAGCTACTGGGGAGGTTACTCAGGAGGATGGATCACCTGAGCCCAGGAGTTCGAGGCCATAGTGTGCTATGATCGCACCTGTACAGCCTGGGCAACATGGCAAGACACTGTTTCTTTGGGGGAAAAAAAAAAAAGGCTTAGGCTGTAATTAGAATTACAAATACAAAATGAGTTTCAAATGGACAATATAAAAGAATGTATATAAAAGAGTAATATACAGATGAAAATACAAGGCTGTACATAATTCAACTGGGAGAGGAGGAGTGAGACTAGAGAATCAAGATGAAAGAAGAAAGGAAACTGGTGAGAGGACTGACCCTGAACACTCTGAGGCCTCTAAACAGACCTGCTTTGTAAATTATAAGTTAAGCAAAACATCATTAGCATATTTTCTATGTCAGTCACTGTTCTAAGCACTTTACATGCATCATCTCATGTCTTAACAAAAGAGGCTTTGGTGACTGCAACCAAACTTCTCCTCTTCCCAATTATAGGAAGAGGCTAACTAAATACACAAAGAGTATAAACAGTTGGCCACAGTTGGGTTTTCTGAAAAAAATGCTTCTCAGGTATTTGAGAAGGGGGCTTTTTTGTTTACACAGTTAATTCCTTTTCCCTCAATAATATCTCTCCAATTTCAGACCACATTCATATACAAATACATAAAAACTGCATTTAAATAGTAAAAGAATGAGCAGATGATCATACTCTTGGTCATCTATTCTTAAATTTAGCGTGTTTCCCTTTCTAGTCCTTCTCCCATCACCAACCTCCCACTTCTCACTTCAAAATTAGGATAACTTTATTGGTTTTTTGATTATAAAAAAAAATACATGCTATCATTCAAAAATATATACAAAATACGTTAAAATCTAAAAGTCGCCTCAAATGATTAATTCTTCATTTGTATTAATAATCATAGTATGGACTACCCCCAGGTAATAAATGACCTAAAAGAACACACACATTGAGAAATAATGATATACTAACATTTCAACCTAAAATTTGATAACTGGAAATATTTAATATCTTTAGCATTAAAGATTCCTCAATCCTCATGTTGAAAAATAAATATGCCAACAACTGATACTCACCAACATCATGAAAAGTTAGTTTTAGTTGTGCTTTTAGTGGTGTCTGCATACATCAACTTCTAAACTTTATGCACTTAAAATTATCACCCATACTCTAGATTTTTCCAAAATAACTTCTATCAATATTAATTTATTGTCTTTTCAGTCAAAGTGTTCTGGGGATTACAAACACAATTCAGTTTTTATTTCTTTTATTGATGTAAAATTATCAACAGATAAAAGTGTTTGATGTAGGTGAGTGCCCTAGGTGGAGCAAAACAGTCAGCCATGCAAACAATCCAACTTGAAGGGGTTCTATAAGAAATCTACCTAAGTCGGCCACAGTGCTGAAAATTTCTCCCATCAGAATCATCCCTTTAGGACACTGCATTATTTTCAGAATACACTTGTTAAAATGTCAATGTGCACAAAGAGGAAGGGATAATACATATAAAAAAATGATTAATAACTTTTTTAAATTTAAGGAGCATAATATGCTCAGTAAAAATTAACTGGTAATTAAAAATAAAGAGGACTTAGATCCACTCCTTCAAGGGAAATAGGTTCCATAGAGGACAAGTATTAAACGGATTAAACATTCAAATTACTGACAATTAGGACTTACCTCAAAAATCTGACTAGCTCTAAGTAGTGAATGCCCATCAGCCTGGACCACCATAACCTGACTAGGAGATTGTGACAGAATGCTTGAAGAGCTAGCAGAAGTCTAAAAACAAACAGAAAAAAAAGGGCACTTTATCTAAAATTAAACACAGATAAAATTTAATAATCATAAACATATTACCCAAGGGACACCTGGTATGTACTTATGTTTGATAAGCAAACACTTATATTTGACCAGATAACCTTGTGGTGGATATACAACTCTACCACATGGTTAGTGGTAGAGTTTTGTGTTCATTTAAAAAATCACAGAGCTCCTTTGTAAGAGTCTAAAGGAAGTACTTGGGGCCTCTACATTCACCTAACATCACAGCAAGACAACTTATAGAATGCAAACAGAGACTAGTTGACATCATAATTAAATTCAAAATAACACTGTTTTCCATATGAAAAGGGCTTTTTAAAAAAATAAATAAGCTTTAAAAATAAGTTTTATTATATGAACACTGCTTCACATTTCTAAAATTGCAATTAAGATGTCTTATGTTCCATAAATACTGTTTTTGATACTCTTACCCTACATTGGTCAAGAATTTGAAGTTTTTCCCATGTTATTTTATCACTTTCAGATTTTTTCCAAGGATCATTCCATTTTTCAGAAGCTTCCTTTTCTTTCTTCTTCAAAGCAACCTGTTCATCTGTAAATAATGTCCTTTTTAAAAAATTGTACAAAAACTGTAAAAAAAAGAATTATGTAAACAAATCATGACCTTCTTAATAAATGCAGATTCCAACACAGATCTAATCAAAACTGGTTTTTAGGGAGGAGATTAACTCACAGGCAGAGAGAAATTTTTAAGGAAATAAAAGAAAAAATGTAATCAGAACCAAACTCAGGAACGGCACAATGAATGTAAAAATGCTTGTTTTATTACAATTATCGGTAAGAAGCAATTTTATCAGAATAACTTATTTTATATTATGTTAATTATTCTTAGGTTCCACTTTCCTAAATGTTCATTCAGTTATTACTAAGAGAATTAAAAGCTAGAATTCTGGAGTCAGAGAACCCTGGGGACAAATTCAAGTTCAACCACTTCCTAGCTAAGTTACTATGAGCAAACTGCTGTTAACCTCTCTAAACCTCAGTTTCTTCTTCTGTAAAATGGGGATAGTAATAGTGCCTATTTCGGTATAGGGTCTGGCACAATATAAATATGCAATAAATGTTAGATGTTATTTCTCATTAACTGCTGAAAAGTAAACAATATAAAACCCTGTGTCTAACAGACACAGTAAAAACTAAACCCCAAATCAACAGTTCTTTAAATACAAAATTCAGAGATGTATAAATCTAAATTCCAAGAAAATTAATGGAACCATGACTTAATGAGATGTGCTTTGCTAACAGTATCAAGTCAAAAAAAAAGGAAACTTTTAAAAGACAATAATTAAAGCATAAAATTTCAGTCATTTCCAAGTAGTTTCATCTTTTTTCAGAAATTTGGCATTGTATTTGCATGTTAAATTTGTGTTGAAAGAAAATATTTAAAACTGAAATTGTGATATAAACACACATCAGACCTCCAAACCTTCTGATACTGCTACTGAAACTGCCTTTACAAATTAATAAAAAAGTCTGCAAGGGGAGAACTGTGGTAACGGCCTAGCTAAAAATAATAATAATAATTAGCCACTGTCCTTCTGCTTACTTCTCTGTAATTGCTACTCTGGAGCCACATAGCTGGTGGTCATAAAGATTCTTAGCTTTCTCTGTAGACAATATCACCTTTTTGAAACCTAGGGGTAGTTTCTGAGATATCTTCCAGGTCCCCAATTCCAGTGGAACGGCTGACCCACCCAGACCAGCAGCCCACACCAATGAACTGACTCAACTGATCTTGTGACTCCATCCACTGAACCCAGCCAATTAGCAGATTCAATTGCCTATACCAAACTGTCTTTAAAAACCCTGTCTCCCAAATTCTTGGGAGGCCGATTTGAGAAATTTCTCCCATTTCCTGCTTAGTGCTATGCAGAATAAACTCTCTCTCTGCCATAAACCCTGCCGACTCAGCGTATTGGCTTCCTATTGGGCAAATGAAAATGGTTGGGCAGCAACACTACCAAAAATTTACTTTCTTCATTCTTCTGTTACCTTGACTTCCAACATCAATTCATTCCCTACTCCTGCTGCTTATTTCTTTTTCTAAGTCACTCATGCCAGCAAGGTTAGTGATTGCCTCACAGGACTTCCTCGTTCAATGGAGGATGAAGCCCATTTCATGCCTTTGGTATATCTAGTCCTAAGAAATACAACTATTACGTCACCCATTTTGCAAACCATGGTACCTGAACCCTAAATTGAATCTATGAAATAACAGTTGTTTCTTAGTTATGTAGTCCACAGGCTAAAATAATGCAATAAGCTTATTTTTGTCTAGAATACGCTGATTGATTACCATATTGCTTATTCTTGATTAGAATATTTTGGTTATTTGAAAAAATGAAATCAATTTTTTAAATAAACCATCCTTATACCCACAGGATTTCTGTAATGGAAAAATATGAAAAAAGATTTTCAGGAAATGAGAAAAGCTTAAAAATCTTTGAGCTACAGGGGCTCCAGAATGATACCAGTGATAGGAATGTTTTTGGTGCACACCACAGAGTACCAAATAAAAAGATACAAATACAGCAATATGAAACCACAAAGCTTCTGCATTTGCAGAGAAGTACTCTAGATGTCAAATGCTATAAAACAAGACTTTGGGTAATAATCATACTAAAAAATAAACAGCTGGCCCTCCACATCTGTGGGTTCCACATCTGCAGATTCAATCACAGATCAAAAATATTTGGGAGAAAAAAAAGAATGGTTCCATTTATACTGAACATGTACAGATTCTGTCAATATTTCCTAAACAATACACTATAACTATTTACATAGCATTTACATTGTATTAGGTATTATAAATAATCTAGAGATGATTTAAAGTGTAGGTGAGAATGTGTATAGTTTATAAGCAAATACTATACCATTTTATATAAGGAACTTGAGTATCCATGCATTTTGGCATGGGGTGGGCGTGTCCTGGAACCAATTCCTCAGATATTGAGGGACTACTTTACTTTGAAGGATACCAAAACGTTTCATCCCAAAATATACTTGTCATCTTTTGAAATGCCTGTTCAGAGGGCCTGCAAACAGAAGTAGCCTTGCAGAGCTGCCTTTTGTGGAGATTTCCTCTGTAGAGAAAATCTGCATTGATGCAGCCAGGCTTTCTCTGGGGGCCCTCCCTTGTCCAGATATAGAAAAGATTAACTGAGAGTCTGACACCTTCAAAGGTTAGAAAGAAACATTTACCATCTATTCTCTCTGAGGGCTGCTACCTGTGATGGTTCATCTATCTGCACAACAAAGACCACTTCTGCTAGCCAGGACTCTTCTTCTCCCCCTCCCACAATCTGTTTTGCCATGCTCCAAACTTCTACTCTTTCAGCAAAGTCAAAACAGTATAAAAACATTAACCATCTAGCCATTTCTTTGAGTCTTATATTTTGCAAGACTCCCCTGCACATTAATTTGTATGCCTTTTCTCTTATTCATCTGCCTTTTGTCAGCGAACCTTCAGAGGGAAAAAGGGAAGTTTTCCCTTAGCCCCTACAACTTCGTTCTCAAAATATAGCTCTTAAGCTAACAGAATTAAAATAAAAAGTATAAAAATTACCTACCAAGCTCTTTCCTCCACTGGGCTTTTTTTGCTTCCAACAAACTTCTATCATATTCCCTCTCCCCCAGAGTACTGAATATGTCAGCTGGTTTCCATTCATTCTCTCTAAGGCAAAACACAAAAAATAACAGAAACCTTATCATTATGTTTCCACACAGCTGATTTCATAAATATTACGTAATAAGCTTTTTAAAAGCTCTAAGTCTTCTGAGTAAATATTTCACATGCAAGGAAAAATAAAACCATATTTCCAAGATGACCCCATAATAACAGATATGAGTTACATACATGGCAATTTTCTGCTCACACTTAGATGTCTCCTGATTTTTCTTTAAGACAGATTTATTTTCATCTGGGACAGAAGAAACAGCCTCAGTTTTCTGGAGTAATCCCATATTGTTTTCGTCCTTTGGCTGATTAGGAATATTGTTTAAATGTAGACTATACTGACCTACGAGGTAAAATGCATCTTTTAAAATTAACACTAAATTATATCTATTATAATATCTTATCTTGGCATACTACTATATAGTTTTTAAAAGTCTTATACATTACCTAATTTAACTCTCACAACAATCTTTGAGGTATTATGTTTCCTTTCTGTCAAAAAAAAAAGGAAACTGAGGCCCAGAAGTTAAATGGCTTGCTCATGGCCATAGCTATACGACTTCTTGTATTAAATAGGGAAGAAAATAAGCAACAGAAAAATAAACCTCCGTTTATTCTTGCCAGCATACTTTCACAAATAATATAAATTATAACATAAATCACAACCTAAAGGGGAATAAATGCTAATAGCTTAATAAAAACTCATTACCTTAACTTTATTTTTCTCATTTAGCTGTGAAATCAGTGGAAAAGCATTGTCTTTATGTCCCAGCTATAATTTCTAAACCATGTTTTATAACACTCTACTGCTCCTTCCAAGTCTGTTTTACATCGGTCAAAAAAATATTACTGCCAATCCTTAGCACGGATTGAGGGACAGGACAAGCAAATGCAGGGGCCAGAAGAGCAACTCGAGTCAAATCTTCATACTAAGGTTCCCTGAATTTTCACTAGAAATACCACAGTGGATTTCTTCACAACGTTTCGTATTATTATTTTAAATATAAGTAAAGCTTCTAACATTTTAAAGTAAATACAATCGTTTTTTGTACTAACATCTTTATTTTAGAGTCCAAGAAACTAGGTTTCCTAAGGCTATGCACTATAAGAATAATATTCTGGGCATTAACCTTAAAATATGGCATATGATAACTATAAAAATAATTTTACATATTAGGGAAAGTCCTCTAAAAGGACAATTATTTTAAAAGCTTGTTACATATTAAATTAGAATTTAAAAGGCACAGTTACCTAAAACCCAATAAATATGAAATTTTGAAATGCATATTGAGAAAATTAACATTCATTAAAACTTTATAATAATCTTACTTTTTTCCTCCTTCGTTCCATTGTCAGTCAGGGAAATAGATCGATTTCCTTGGTTTATAGTCATTAAAATCTGTTGTAGTTGGTCTTGTGTTAGACACACCAAACTGCTCTTTGTGTTTCCAGCTGTGATATGTTTTTTGTGAGGCTTCTGTTTAGCTCCTAGAGATGTACTTACAGTGTTTCTCGTCTTCTGTATATGAAAGGTGGCAGGTGCAATCTCTCTTTGGATATGAAGACAGTCTTTACTTATGTACTGCTTACATAAATCTTTAGTGGATGAAAAAGTCATTCCATTTTTTTTACCTTTCGCCTGTGAAGTTTCTGAACCAACTGTTGTCTTCTGCAAAAGTTTTTCACTCTCCACACAACTATTTTGTGTTGATTTTAGAATGTGTCCAGTTTGTTTCATTCTTAAAGGACGTTTTGCAATCCTACTCTTACTTCCCATCTGTTAAAACACAAGAATATCTTTATAACAGTCCATGAAAAATCAATTATCTTCTTCTATATAATCTATGATAAATCAGTCTTCTAACCTTTATTCCATTTTGCTATTTAGTTACATAATATAGGCATAAGAAATTCATGCTTAACATTTGTAAATCTTTACTTGAAAGCTTCTTCCAACAACTAGAAATTATTATTTTATTTCAGGATAATGAAGAATACAGAATTTCTATTGTAGTTGTCACAAGACATCTCCATTCTACTCCAGCTTTGAATCTCATAGTCATTAAACCACCCAGGCTACCCATTTTATTGAAATGAATCAATAGACCATAGTACTATCCCTTGGATATCTTACCTCGTGGGTCACCATCCCTCTCTCTCACATAACTCCTAATTATTGTGTTTTCATATACACACAGATAATTTTTCTAATATCTTGGCCTATCATTTCCTCAAACTCTGTCCCTATACTGTTGTCCTCCAGGCTACCTCAGTTACTCCATGTCCCATAGTGACATCTTATATTGACCTTTTAATTATTTATGACTGCAACTCCTGCATAATCGCAATTTCGAGCACTGGACAATGACCATTTTTCCCCAATTTACTCCCTCTCATATGCCAATTCCAACAATTAACTCTACTAGGATCTATAATCCATCCATCCTACCACCACCCTCTTGCTCTCATTCTTAACCATCGTAAATTCTACAATCAACAAAAATCATCACTCTTCCATTCTTTTTTTTTTTTTTTTTTTTGAGACAGGGTCTCACTTTGTTGCCCGGGCTAGAGTGAGTGCCGTGGCGTCAGCCTAGCTCACAGCAACCTCAGACTCCTGGGCTCAAGCAATCCTACTGCATCAGCCTCCCAAGTAGCTGGGACTACAGGCATGCGCCACCATGCCCAGCTAATGTTTTTTTTCTATGTATTTTTAGCTGTCCAATTAATTTCTTTCTATTTTTGGTAGAGACGGGATCTCGCTCTTGCTCAGGCTGGTCTCGAACTCCTGAGCTCAAACAATCTGCCCGCCTCGGCTTCCCAGAGTGCTAGGATTACAGGCGTGAGCCACCGCCCCCGGCCCACTCTTCCATTCTTAATTCCTTTGCTTTGCTCTCTGTCATGGACACTTGGCAAATCCCAACTCCGGTAAAATCGAACTCTTCACCTACTATATGCCTGTTGCACTCATGGAGAAAAACAGCAGAGTCATGCTAACCAGATTCATCTTAAACTCATAAACAAGAACATCAGATGGGCTCTTAATGCTACCTGGCAGCCATACATTCCCAAGTTCATTTACTCTCTCATTCCTTTAGTAACTATTAATAGTTCAACCCTCTCCTCTTTCCCAAAACCCCTAACACTTTCTCTCCCATCCTTTTCTCAGCTGAAGACCTTAATATTTCACTGAAAATCTTACAGAGAAGCATTCAGCAGAAAACTTCAAATTTCCACCACTAGATCTTTACCAGCATCTGTACTCCTACAAACTACATGCCCTCTCATTACTGGTACACTTTCCTGTAACCGTCTCTCTTTTTCAAGGATATCTCTAGCAATTCTTTGCTTTCTATTGAATCACAAATTTTTTCTTTTCTGCTGGATCATATAATTTGCATACAATATACTATTATTTTACCATCTTAAAAAATTTTTTGACTTTTTTTTTTTATTTCAGAATATTACAGGGGTACAAATGTTTAGTTACATGTATTGCCTTTGCCACCCCCCCTCCAGTCAGAGGTACAAGTGTGCCCATCCCCCAGGCAGTGTACACCGCACCCAGTAGGTGTGAATATACCCATCCTCTTCTCCCCCTCCCACCTGCCTGACACCCGGTATTTTACCATCTTAAAAAATTCTTGACCCCACTGTCTCCTTTAGTCTCCTATAATCCCATTCTAACCAGGCTTTCACCCTTTCACTACCCCATCAAAACTGCTCAAGGTCACTAATAATTTCTACATTGCCAAATACAGTGACCGATTCTCAAATTCCTGACCTTATTTGACCTATGAGCTCCATCTGACAGTTGATTACTCCTTCCATTTTGAAACTTTCTCTACTTCACTTCTAGGACTCCACAGTGCCGGTACTTCTTTGACCTACTTCACTGCTCCTTCTCAGTTTTGCTGGCTCTTCCTCTTCTCCCGGACCTCTTAAGGTTGAGTGCCCAGGAATCAGTCCCAGAATCTCATTTCTAAGTTCCCTCATTTACTTGCTATTTTCATTTACTCTTGTGGCTCTAAATATCATCCACGTTGATGATTCCCAAACTTTTGTGTCCAGGTGTTCTTTTCCCCTAACTTCATGTTCCATCCGCCTATCCAACACTTCCACTGGGCTTCTAATAGACATTTCAAATTTAGCACGTCCAAAACTGAACTCCTGATCTCCCTCTTGCCCCTAAATAACTTCCTCCCCTCACAATCTTTCCCATCTCAGTTGCTCGCGCCAAAAATTTTGGAGTTATCCTTGATTCTTCTCTCATTATACCATATTTAATTTGTCATCAAACATTGTTTTGCTCTATCTTCAAAACATATCCTGAATCTGACCACCCCTGAACATCCCTCTTGCTACCCTCTTTACTCCAACACATTATTAGGTCTTGCTGGAATTACTGCAAAGCCTTCTAACTGGTCTCCCTGTTTCTATCCTTGCTCCCCAGTCTATTCTCAACACAGAAGCCATAGTGATTATCTTAATGTATGTCAGATCATGTCACACTCCTGAAAAGCCTCGAGTGATGTCGTATCTTACCTAGAGGATAAATTGGACTTCTCACTATGTTCTAGAAAGCCCTAATAATCTGTGAGCACCTCCCCATCCCCCTATCTTTTGCCCACATTCTCTCTCTCACATCTGACTTTATTTTCTATCTCTTAGCCTCCAGCCACATGGGCTTCTTGGTTGTTCCTTGAACTCAGCAATCCCTTTACCTGGGACATGCTGCCTTCATATTCTGTTATAACCGCTCATTTCCTCACCTTCAAATCTTTCCTCAAATATCACCTGCGAAGCCTTCCCTAACCACCCTGTTTAAGATTGCACATTTCCTACTCTACCCTCACTCCCACCACCCTAGCACGCCTTCCTCCCAGTGCTGCTGTGCCCCTAAGGTGACAGTGATTCTTCCCTCTCCTTTATTTTTTTCCGTAGCACTTTTCATCTTGCAATATTCTGTATTTATTCATTTTGCTTTTTGTCTGCCTATCCCTCACCTTCCTACTGTAAACTCCACCGGGCAGAGATTTTTGTCTGATTTACTCACTGCTGTATCCCCATTACCTAGAACAGCTGAGTGGAACAGAGCAGATGTTTTTGTTGAATATCCTCAACTATGCTATATCTAACACTGAATTCTCTTGCCCCCAAGTTAGCTCCACTTTCCAAAATACTCCATTACTGGGGCACTGTTGTTCTAATCTCTCTGACCAGTAACCATGGAATCATCTTTCACTCTTTCTCCTTCTTCAGTGTCTTCTTTAGCTTATCAGCAAGGATTAGTCATTTCTTCCTTCCAATTATCTTTCTGACCATTCACATGACAAGCCTAAATTAAGGTTTTTATTACCATTATTAGATTACAGCTTACCTAACTCAAGTCTATCCTCCCTTTAATCCACCATACATTTCTGCAAACTCAATTAACCTGTAACAATTGAACAATCATTCAATCAATACCAAGTGTTGCTTTTTATGTGCTCACCTCTATGGGAAAATTGTTGAGGATATAAAGATGAATAAGACAAGATCCTTCCTATCAAAGAGTGGGTTAGATGCCATAATAACTTTTTTTTTTTTTTTTTTTTGAGACAGAGTCTCGTTTTTGTTGCCCGGGCTAGAGTGAGTGCCGTGGTGTCAGCCTGGCTCACAGCAACCTCAAACTCCTGGGCTCAAGCAATCCTTCTGCCTCAGCCTCCCGAGTAGCTGGGACTACAGGCATGCACCACCATGCCCGGCTAATTTTTTCTGTATATTTTTAGTTGTCTGATTAATTTCTTTCTATTTTTAGTAGAGACGGGGTCTCGCTCTTGCTCAGGCTGGTTTCGAACTCCTGAGCTCAAACAATCCGCCCGCCTCGGCCTCCCAGAGAGCTAGGATTACAGGCGTGAGCCACCGCGCCTGGCCCATAATAACTTTTATCTGGCTTATCACAGCCAAATTTTTGTCTTTCAAGAAATTCCAAAGTATACAACCACATTGACCAATTAACCAATCACATTTCAACCTACTTTTCAAACAATACTTACAGCATCAGCCATGAGATCTCTTATTATCTTCTTCATCTCACATATACCTTGTTTATTCCTGGCTTTAGGTTTTTGACTATACGACACCTCAGTCTAAAGTGCCTTTTACCCTCCTATCCCTGCAGCTATTTTAGTGTAACTAATTCTCTAAATGAGAGGTGGCAAATGAAAATACCTCCCATGAATTAGACTGGATGGGAATTGGGATGAACTAAAGAAGAGCACTTTTAGGAGACAGCCACCACTCAGAATCACCTTATATTGCCAAACAGGAATCTAAGCCTAAATGCTAGATCATTCACTATTTCAGGAGAATCAAGAATGCCAGATTTTACATTCAACTTTCCAATGTTTTGACATTGGCAATTCATTCTAGTTTTTGAAAACCCACTGTGTAGATCAAGCAAATTATCAGCAGACTGCACTTGGCTTACAAAGCTAAACTCTACCACCTCAGTTAGTCTCCAACTACCCCATCTCCTACTGATCTCACCCTTCTTTGACTCATACAGGACTTTTTTTGGGTAATAGTTGAGCATTTCAATTCCCTTATCAGTTTACCTCACTTAAGCTGCTAAGAAAGGCCAAGCACTATGGCTCACGTCTATAATGCCAGTGCTTTGGGAGGCTGAGACAAGAGGATCACTTGAGCCCAGGAGTTTGAGGTTACAGAGAGCTATAATCGCACCAATGCACTCCAGCCAGAGCAAGACCCCCCATCTCTTTAAAAAAAACAAAAACAACAAAAAAAACAAAGCTAAGAAGTGCAGTACATTCCCCATTCCCTTAAATCTTAAAACTCTCATTTCTGTCCCCTTCTTTCCACTCTTCTAGCTACTATCCAAGTTCAGGCCATCCTAAGACTCTCTGGACACTGTAATTGGCATTTAATTGGTCTCCCAGTTATGATAACCCATCCTTCACAGAGCTGCCCAAAGCCCTTTCCTAAAAACACAAATTAGATCATATCTAGTCCCCTTTTCAAAAATCCTTTAGGCTCGCTACATGCAAATTGTAAGTTCAAAGTCCTTGAGTATACATTCAAACTCTTCATGACAGTACCCCCACTTTATGTTCCATGCTTCCCCTGAGGTACACACTATTCCCCAAATTCAACTTATGCTTTTTATCTTTTGCTCACTACTTTCTCTATACTTGGAATATGCTTCCCTACTTCTTTGATATCTCCCTCACCTTTAAAATTCTAATTAAAATGTCATGCTTGCTTTTATCTCTTGGTTCTAAAATAAATATATAAATTAATAAAATGTCACCTCATTTATGAATCATGCCCTGGTCTCCTCAAACCAGAAGGAGCTACTCTTTCCAACGTTTTCCCCTTTTTATAACTCTACTACAGCACTCATTTTGTTCTATCTGTACCATACTTTTTACCTGACGATGATATCCCTATGTCTAGAAAATAGAGAGCTTAAAGCCAGAGAGGAACAATGAACGGAGGCAGCAAAAAATCACGAAACACAAAATAAAGATTCAATCATGTTCAGGTTACTAAATAATAAAAAGCAACCTAGCTCAAATCATTTCCCAAGTGTTTACTGGATTAGATGAAAATTAATAGATCAAACAGGGCCTTCATGTCATAAAACACTTTTATATAGCATGTTGTTTTACCTAGTTTTAATTCTACCACTATTTTTCATATCATAAAGACAATGTTCAATGCATTTGTTTAATAATGGCTGACTTCACAATTTATATGGGGCCAGGATCCCAATGTCGGAAGGCATCAAAGTAACATTCTTAAATATAAAATGTGCTACCTAGCACTAATATTGCATACATCCTTTCGTATGTCACTAATTCTCACATGTAGAAATACTCATGAAAAAATGTTTAATGTTTTATATTTCAACTAATATTTGAGACTATTTTAAGAGTTTTAAAATCCATTATTTTTATAAATTACTTATGACATTGAATCATTTATATTTCTTTCATTTCTCCTCCTGTAAGCCTAAGAAATTAGACTGGTAACCATCTTTACTTCATTACAGCAGATTAAAGAAAAATGCAGGAGAGATTTTGATAGACTTGGGAAAACAGACCACACATGTGTGAAACTTGATGAAAATGAGATATAGTTTGGCTAGGTTTAAAGAACACACTGTGGAGACGACAATTCAATCAGTGCAGAATAGAGAAAACACAAAAACTGTAGGTGGTGCAGTCACTCAGAAGCTTAACCCAGGAGAACGAAAAAAGAAAAGCACTATGTAAAGGGAATTCATAAATAACTTAGAGAAAAGAGAAGTCAACATATAACTGCAGAAATGTGGGATTTGAGAGATTAAAAAACAGTTAAAAAAAGTAAGTACTACTGATTTTGGTGTTTTATCGTCTGTGAAGAGCAAAAAAGGAAGGAGGAAGATCTCTGCAACCTCTATAAATACAGGAAGAGAAACTCCTTGAAAACAATCAATACAGGAAGGAGACTTAGGTGCATCATTTTTTTTTTGGAGTCCCAACCGCAATAGGGATGAACACAATTTAAGACAGTAAACAATTTAAGGTTAACATCAGCAGAGAATGTATTAGTTACTGTGGGAAAAAAATCCTAGGATAAAGTACCCCTGGACAGTTGATAGAATTCTGTAATGCAAAGTCCAAGACTAATACACAAAGTTTAAGACTAGTAACTTTGTTTATTATAGGCCTATAAAGGGATTTCCAGATGTTCTGAGTTGGTTAAAGACAGTGAAATGTCTTCACAAATGTGGCTACTATAGCAAATCCATTAAGGATATCAACAGGAAGAGGGAACATGTGAAAGAGAATAGAGGCCTGCAGAAGATAGAAATCAACCACTACAAGTAGCTTTTCATCTAAGAACTTGAGAAAGGGCACTATATTCATTAATGTGACTCAAATAACAGCACTTAGTTGTAATATTTTAATAGGAAAAGGCCAGGAAATAATATACAATCTGTATTCTGTCAATAAGGGAGCACTTGAGGTATATAACTATATACATAGAGAGGAATAATTTTTATAAGTAGCTTGTAGAATTGCTCTGATCATCATCACCTGTTTATTGAGTGACATTCTGGGTACTCAAACAAGTTCTCCACCCTGATTAGACCTAGAAGAAATAACAAAGCCATCAAGGGCTCAGAGTTGAAGGGTAAAGTGCTACATCATCCAAACTGGGTTCTATCCACAGACAAAGACTTTAAGATACTGCAATGATGAAAAGAAAAAGGGGCTATGGTAAGTTATGGAAGAGGAAAGGAGAAATTCCTGCCAATGTTAATCTACAAACTGAAAAAGAAATAGGGAATAAGAAAAATAGCAGTATCAAAAAAATTTTTATTATCTGTAAAGTGGGTATAAAAAAGAAAAAAATTTATAGTACTTTGTAGAAAAAGACACAATGGATTCCTGATAAAGAAAAATTAATTTAAAAGGAAAAGTACCATTAAGCTCAAGTGCCATCTTTTAAAGGAGAGAGCTAAATTAAATGCATGTTAGAATTTGTGAATCAAACTTACCTTTTGGTGTGGGCAAATGGAATTTGAATATGAAAAGAAAAAATATTTTTGCACTAATGTCTAAGTATCTATTTTTAAAGATCTCTGGAGCTGCACTGTCCAATAGCTATTAAATTTAAACATTAAATGAAATTAGAAAGTCAATTCCTCAGTCACACTAGCCACATTTCATGTGCTCAGTAACTACACAAGGCTAGCGGCTACCATACTGATTTTGGAACATTTCCATCAACCCAGAAAGCTTTACTGGACAGCACTGATCTAGAGAAAAGGGTTCTACACAGCTTTTTAAACTGAAAATTATGATTCCATTTCTGTGAAAGGGCCAGCCTGACAGCAAGAAAACAGTAACTTCTCATCATCATTCCAAACCCCTTAGAACACTGTGACACTTCCCAGGAATTATTTTCTAACCACTGTAAAGAAAACTGCATTTTACATTTGAAAACAGGTCAGGTCAAAGTCATTTGGCTTACCTTCACAGAAATTTTTGATTTATGGTCTACAAAAGAAAAAAGAAATTACTAAACTATCAACCAAAAACATACTAAGGCAGTCATGAAAGAAAATTTTAATTAGTATTCATTTTAAGATGTTAAGATAGCAGTATTATCCCAAAAAGCATTAAGTTTAGATCCTGGCTGAGTGTTTTAACTTTTACACTGTGGTTCAACTATTTACTTCTATTTCATTTTTGTTTATTTTGGTTATCTTTCCAAGGTAAAACTATAAACAGATCAGGAAAAAAAATAATATGAAGAAGACTACCAAAGTATACTCAGTTTTAAAATTAATACTGAAAACTACTAGCATTTCACTGTGGCCTTACTATAAATTTTCTCAAATAACAGCCTTTCAAAAAACATAATGACATAAATTGAACCTATAATATTTATCAGGCAATAAGGATACTTGCTATATGCAAATATAATGAACAGATACATTCCACATAAAATATACTGGAACATTAAATGTTATGAATCTGAATACTGACAATAGTAAGCAGTGATTAATCTAATTTTCCTTGGCTAAAAGTAAATTTTAAGAAGTTTAAGGAAACAAATTTTTTCAACATATCATTTAAACATCACTCTATTACAACCAAGAAGTCTGTTAAGCTACTATAAATTTTATGTATGAATTGTTTAAGTTAACTTCTTGGATTTCTAGTCACACAGCATACCATATGGAGACAATATTAGCTTGGTTTTTCCATCCAGTATTTCAGTTTCAAGCTTTAAACCATCTCTGCAATATAAAAAAAAGTTGTATGTCATTTTTAACAAACAGCAACATTTTAAATAGCCAGAAATGTTTATCTGAACCTTGAAAGCAAATCTATTCTTTTGAATTTATAAAGGAATCTTGTACATATCAAACTAGTCTTTTAAATAAAAACGTTTTTCAATCCAAGATAAAACTAATACCTACAGGGAGAAAATTCTTCTTGAAACTTTTCAATAATACAAGAATTTGTTCATCTTTAACTTGCAACCTTTTTGTTATTGGTAAGCAATAAACTATTTCAGTTATCATACCATCATTTAACTCTAGCCTGGAAAAAATAATGCTGTTACTGAAACCCCTAGCTAAGTAGCAAGACATAACTAACCACTATTTATTAGTTTCATTACGAATTCATGACTAATACAGTCTATGGGAGTGCTAGAGCATCTTAAAATGACTATAAAGCCACCAAGGTTATTAACTGCTTGAGCGGAGTTCGAAATTTTTAATATTTTAAATAATACATATTCACATTCAGTGACACTTTTGCTACCACCACAACTATAAATCTACAATAAACTTGGGTTGCTATGATGCTTAATATGTGCATGTCAAAAGCAAGGCCATAAAGGAACAGTAGACACTGCCAACAAAACTTGAACGTCTATTAAGTTTCTAAAGAAAAACTTCACCGAAACAAAAATGGCAGTCCATACAGTAATTCACTGTCTTACAAGAAGGAAATAAAAAAGGCGGGTACGGGTATGTCAGTACACATTAACGGGGACAAAAGTCAAGTCCAAGAGATAAAATTAAACCCAGCGGTGCAGTCCATGGAGACAGGTTAGAAATGGTCTGATTAACAAAGCGAAATCTTCGGTGTTGCTTAGGTAGGGGAAATCAAATTGCCTCAACTTAATTATTAAAGGTAAAACACTGGAAAGAATAGGTTTTAAGGGTTTCCCTGTTGCAAGGTTATGAACAGTTTATGTTTACGTTGGTGAAACGTTACCAAAAAACAAAAGACCTTGAATAAAACTGCAAAATATCTCTGTTATGCACGGCACTGTAAAATCCGTAAGGGCCAGACTTATCTTACTTCTATAACCCCAGATTCTAAAACATTATTTACCGAATGATGCGCAGTTAAGTCTGAGTTTAGGGGCTTTTCATCTTCTTAACAACCTCAGAGTGATGAAGACCACGCAACAGTCCTTTTTATTTATTCAACCACTAGTTAACGAGAGTTATTAGGTGCTAGGCACTGGTAATACACCGACTCCTTGAGAAGCCTGTGTTCATCTGTGCGCTCGAACATTTTGCAAGACTCCAAAGTCAGGGTAGCGAAGAACCAGGGCCTGCGCCAGGATTCCTTCCCGGGAAGCCGCTAAGCTTTCTTTATCTGCCCTCACCGTTTCTCTCCTTTCCTCCACGCCTCTCTTCCCTCCCCATCCCAAGGTAAATAAGAAGACGGAAAGGGGTTCGCAGTTTTAATGACAGTTACGAAGTGAAAAAGTGAGGTCTGCAGCGTCGACAAGGGCCGCCCCTTCCCCTCGCCCCTCTCTCCCTCAGGGAACTGGGCTCTGCCACTCGAGGTGGCGAGGGTACAGAAGGTTCCCTGCAAAAAACTCCAAGGGCCAACTCAAACCCATCACCCCCACCTCCACTGACGGCCACCTCCCTCACACCAGCTTACCCCAAGTTCATGGCCTGACAGCCCACTCTCTCCACAGGACGCTCCAGCCCCTTGTGTACCACGGTTGCCGGCCGCCGCTCAACAAGCACTACACCGATTGGATATAGGGAAGGCTGGCGAGCCGGAGGATGGACCAATCAGGGTGGGGCGTACTGGCGGGTGGGCTAAGCCGGGGCGGGACTCCAGGGGATTCGATCTGACCCAGCTGGCGATTCTATTAAAAACAATTCGGTGGTGAAGGCTTGCGCTCCTTGCAATTGTATCCTCCCAAGTTGCACAAGGAGCCCTAGGAGAAATGAAACTTTACCAAAAAAACAAAAGACCTTGAATAAAACTGCAAAGTATCTCTGTTATGCACTGCACTGTAAAATCCTTAAGGGCCAGACTCAGGTGGAGGTGACAAAAATAGGAAGAAACAAAAAGCATAAATGTTTTAAGGAAATTAACATTTTCTATAGTTGTATTTGGAAGAGAGGCTTATTTTAGTACAAAAAAAGTTGGGGGAGGTGGGATACCTAGGCCAGATACTGGAATGTCTTGTTTTTTGCTGTGACCCCCGCATTAACCCTAGCACATTGTAGCTCTTTTTAAATAGCAGCAATGACGAGTGCTCAATAAATTTAGCTGTTATTGTGCCAGACATGGAACTAAGCCCTCCTGTCTATTATTTAAGTCTTACATTATCTCTGAGGCACACAGAGGTTAAGCGACTTGCCCAAAGTCACTGACGACCGAGTAGTTTAAAGCCACAGCCCATGTTCCTCTCCAGAGTTATATGAGTGTGACTAACCCCTAGTGATCCTTCAAGTCTCAATTTAAACGTCACTTCTGCACAAAGCCCTTTGGATCAGGGCAGGTAATGCATTTAAGATCCTGTGCCAGAGTGAGCTTTAAAGGGGAGGACAGTTGGTGTTTTGCACATTTCTGTAGCCATAGCACCTGGCACTGTACGG